GCCACCTTAGGTGTACGTGGCTGGCGCCTTAGCCGGTTGAGCTATAGGCGCCGAGCCAGGGGCTTTGTGTTTTTTAACATGTTTATTGAAATGTATTGCACATACATGAGGTTCTCTTGTATAAAGTGTACCATTCATTGGTTTTGGAGCTTTTATGTATGTATTTAGAGTTGTGCAACCATCAACCTAGTCTATTTCTACAATGTTTTTCTTACCCAAAAGAAACCCTGCTCTTATTAGTCACTCTCCACCCCACCCCTAGCTTCCTGTGTCTGTGGATCTGCCTGTTTTGGACATTTCATATAATGGAGTCACACACTGTGTGTTCTTCTGTGTGTGCTTCTCTCACTGAGCATTATGTCCTCAAGATCCATCCACATAGTAGCCTGTGTCAGAGCCTTGTTCCTTTTCATGTCTGAGTAATATTCCAGTATGTCGATGGACCATATTGGAATAATCAAATGAGATAACTCAGTACCTTGAGGCTAGCCATGGATGGAGCACATTGGGTTTTGTCCACTCGTCTGTTGGTGGACACTGAATTATTTCCACTTTTTAGCCGTTGTGTATAATGTTTCTGAATTTCTTGAATAAGTTTCTGTGTTGGTGTATGCTTTCAGTTCTTTTGGGTTTACACTTGGGAGTGAAATTGCTGGCTCAGATGGTAACTCCATTTGATTGTTTAGGGAATTGCTCAGCTATTTTCCAAAGTGGCTGCCCCAACCTGGCAGGCTTTGGGTGCATACTGTTTTCCAGGCAGGAAAACCACCTTTTTTGATGCTCAAAAGCATTGGGTGAAACAGGTGCTAGTCTTAGTGTTGTTGTACATGGAAGGCCTCAAGGCTTGGAGAGGGATGCCTGGTGGCTGAGTAAATTCACTGGTGTCAGGACCATCAGAGCAGCAGAAGAGCCACATGGGCTTCTAGGGTTAGTGAGAGAAGCCAGCATATTTCGTCCCCCATCCTCAGGACTCCATCCCAGCTCCTTCCTGTGCTAGCAAGCTCTGCCCCTTGGAAACTGTATAAATTGCCATGGTCAAGTTGACAAGCTCAGCCTGCTTTGAGCCTGAGTCCGATCCTTCACTTCCTCATGGAAACCACCTCCTAGCTCTGAAAATCAAAACTCATATGTCCCCACCCCACTTGTGTGTACAAGGACACAGGCTGCACATTCATAGCTGGCACCTTCCCTGGTACCCTTTTGCTTACACTTCCCATACCTTGGGATCCACTTGAAGTTCCAGAGAGCTAAAAACTCATTTTATGGATGGGGAAGTCAAGGCCTATGTTAGAGGGGAGGGTGAGTCCACAAATCCACTATGAGGAGGCTTCCACCTCCCCATTGCCCTTGGAGAACTGAGAAATATAATTCTTGACACCTCAATAGACTGGCCCAGAAGCAGGTACCTACATTATAATCTACTGATCACGCTTTTGTTAGTTCTTGGTGCTAAAGAGTTAATTATCTGACCAGATGGAAAACAAAACTGTGAGAGGCATTTGGGCCAGGATGGGCCATGTCCTAGCGTTGGGCACTTGGCATTGGCAACATGTGGGCATCACTTGGGACCTCCACCACTTCCCCACTATCCCTAGACCTGACTCTTCCTTTGTGGTCTACTGAGTCCTCCAGGGTGGATGTTACTAGAGACACTCCGAACTCCCAAGGAGGCCTCAGACTTGGCACCTTGTATTCAACCTTTATTTGCAAACTCTGAGGTCAGACACGGTGCTGGAGACTGGATAGCATCATGTTTTTCTCCCTCCACCTTCCCTGGGATTCTGGGGCAGGGGAGAGATGGTGGTTGTGGTCTGGCCTCTGCCCCATCCCTCCCAGTACCCCAAACCCAAAATGTATAGGAAACTCCTCTCTTCTCTACCTGGAGCTGCCAGGCCCAGCTTTGAGGTTCCACCTGGCCAGCTGGACCCCTCTGGGCCAGTCTAGCAGGGGCGGGACCCAGTGACCTCTGGGGCCCAGGCAGGGGCGGGTCCAAGCTCCATATCTGAAGACTCGTGGTTCCAGCAGGCAGCTGGGCCTAGGGGGTAACGGGGTGGGCACCCCCGGACATCAGGGGGCCGGACCAATGGCGGTCAGTTGACTTTGCACTGATGCGCCAAAAAGGAGGGGGCCACCAATGGCCACAGCCAGCCGGACCGGCACCAGGGCCCGGGCAGGGTAGCTGGAGCAGGCGGAGGTGGTGGGCTGAGGGTGGCCGCGGGGGACGGTGGGCCCAGAGCAGGAGCCCCGCCGCTCATCAAGCGTGGAGGACGGCGGACAGGTGGTGCAGTCGCTTGGGGAGCCCCCGCGGCACGTGTAGCAGGAGGCGTGGCAGCTGGCGCACACCCTCAGCGCGGGCCCAACTGGGCGACCGGGGCCCGAGGTTACTGTGCGCCGCGTGTGGTTGAAGTATCTCGGGGGGCAGTAGGCAAGGCAGCGCCGGCCCAGGAGGTAGGCGGGGCTGTGGCATTCTGTGCAGGAACGGACACCTGAGCCCTCTGCCAGCTGTCCGCGGCCCACCTGCCGGCCCAGGCTGCACACGCACACTGCCCACCGCCTCCCAGCCAGTGGGCCAAGCCGCGCCGGCCACTCACCCTGGCACAGCCCCTCTGTGTCCCGCTGCACACACGCGCTGCTGGTCACCTGGGGGCCTGGGGGCCGAGCTGTCATGTCCTCGGCTGTCCCGTAGAGCAGCAGCGTGTAGTGGTACAGCATCCCTGGACAGGGGGCACAGGTGGGCACAGGAGGAGGAGAGAGGCTGTTGGGGCCCTGATCCTGCCACTACCTGGGGCATCCCACCCCCAACCCACAGGGATCCCACCCTGCACCAAACTCAAATGGCTGTCCCTGGCACCAAATACCTACTGTATGCCTATTGGTAGATACCTAAGTGAAAGTAATTGGACACCTATTCCAGGGTAACAGCACACCTACTGTGTGTCAGTGGTTGGATACCTACTGTGTATCAATAACTCAACACCTACTTCTCCTGGGTAACAGCATACCTACTATAAGCCAATGACCAGACACGTACTCCTCCCAGGTAACAGCACACCTATTACATACATGTTATCTTGGAGGAGCCCCTGGGAACCCCTTCTGCAGAGCTCTGGAGGGAGTTGGAGACCTGAGCCCTCACTCCCACCCAGCCCCACCTGGCCTGGCCCTCACCTGTGTTGAAATAGTAGCCCTTGTTCTCCAAGCCCAGGGTCCACAAGCCCTGTGGGTTCTCATCCCAGAAATGGGTGGACATGAAAATCCAGTTGTTGTAGCCTTGACCACTGACATCCAGGGGTCTGGGACAGAGAGTTGTGTGTGTGAGAGGGTGGAAGCTTTGCAAGCACAGCTGAAAGACGCACAGAGCCACTATATGTGTCTGACCCCATCAGGGGGCGTGGGGGCTCTGACCTGCACAGGCTGCCATGTGAATCCATAGTGGGCACAGCCCCTCCCCACAAGGATGCCCGCGAAGGACAGTGTTTACTGACCACTGATGGGCGTGAGGCCACACACCTGATGGCCACAAGGGTGGAGTGGGTACCCATGGGGCTGGTGAGAGAGATCTCCAGGTCCCCACGGCGGCTGTAGGACAGTGACAGCTGCACCTGCACATGCTCCAGTGAGCGGATATAGTTGCGGCTGCCGGCACAGGCGGACACGTTGTTCCCCACGTGCATGAGTGGCAGGATGGGGCTGCGGAGGCGAGGGGGTGAGCACACTCCTACCAGGCTACACAGATCGGCAGCTGGCGGAGCTCAGAAGTCAAGGGGTCCAGCCCCTCAGTTCACCCATGGGTAACCTGAGGCCTGAGGCCTACCCACTTCCCATGGGGAATGATAGCCATGAGGGTAGTGCAGGGGGCCCTCACGTGGGGTTGTGCAGGATCTGGATGGCACACTTCTTCTGGGGCTGCGTGGGCAGCCACGTGCGGGCCATGTCCACCAGTAGACCAGCGTCCAGCAGCCCATAGCCGTAGTGGTGGCTCACTGCGCAGAAGGCGGTGGTCACTGGTCTGTTGGCCTGGAGCCCCCGCCCCCGCCCGGGCCCACCGCACCTTGGCGCCCCACGCCATTGGCCCTCCAGTCCTCAGCCTGGAGCTGCGCTGGCCTGGATGCACGGACCACGAGGTGCTGCATGTCCCTCCATGTCAGGAACGGGCTGAGGGGGTGAGGGCTGGTGAACAGAGGCCTCGTGCCTGGGAAGTGAGGGTGGTGGGTAGGGCCTCCACCATCACCTACTTGGCCTCCAGAGCCAGGGCAATCATGCCTGCGGCCAGCGGGGCTGAGGCTGAGGTGCCCGTGTGCTTGTCCGTGCACTGGTGATGGAGGTCCGTGGTGACCTGAGGGCAGAGAGTGGCAGGCCTCAGGTGGGCCCAGTGTGTAGTGAAAATGTAATCCTTGGCTCAGTGGCTAGGGCGCCAGCCATATACACCAGAGCTGGCAGGTTTGAACCCAGTGCAGACCTGCCAAACAACAATGACAATTCCAACCAAAAAAATAGCCAGGTATGGGCAGCGCTACCGGCCCCATATACTGGAGGTAGTGGGTTCAAACCCAGCCCCGGCCAAAAACTGCCAAAAAAAAAAAAATAGCCAGGCGTTGTGGCGGGTGCCTGTAGTCCCAGCTACTTGGGAGGCTGAGGCAAGGGAATCTCTTAAGCCCAAGAG